TGCAAGTGTAAGATTCTCTGAAAGTTTACTCCTTTGCATTTGGTGTTGTGTGAAGCATTTGAGGCATCACACTTGGTGCTAGGCTCACAAGGTTTCAAGGATCATAATCAACAACAAGGTAAGTTATTCTATCTTTCATTCAAGTTAAAAATGTTCCCCATGTATGCTAGATAGGAATATAACCTTGGAATTCAACTTTGCATGATTATTAGACAAACATAGATCCAAGGTTATTAGGGTTGCATGCACACTTAGGAAGTGTTAGAATACTCAAAACCCATCATAAACACAGTGAGGAAACTCACCCCACACTGCTGAATCTCCCAGAAAGAATATCTGGTTACTGGCCCGCTAAATTCTCCGCGCTATCAATCACAAAATAATCATCCAATCAATAATCGGATCCTGACCTACGCTGGGAGTCCAAACTAGGGTAAAAGACTTTTTTACCCTTTCCATAACTTGGCCCAATCCAAATGACCAAGGCCTAAGTTCCATAATAATCACTCAAAGCCCAATATGGCCCAATTTTCCAAATTGGGCCCAAATCCCTTTCATGGGCCTACAACCAAGGAGTCCAATAAAATTCCAACAGCCCAACAAGAGAATCATGATGGCCCAACAAGGCCCAAGACATCACAAACTCAACCTAGCCCAACACCAGAGAGATGGATGTTACACCAATGTTAGCTTAATATTTTTTTTTTGTTTTTCAAAAAGTTGAAACTCTTCGATATATAATGATAGGTTGTGGGATAGTGATGACTTATGTGTCTAGATTGAGATTCCAGGCAATGATGATGGATCATACATTCCCTACTGAGCAGTTTTAGTAGGAATGATTGAAACATAGGTCCACACAAGTAACTAGTGGACAATTGTAAATATATAATATAGAGCTCCAACATCCCTAAAAGAATAATCCCACGCTAACGGGGCCTTACTTATTCGGGGGGAGAGTGGAGCCTCGAGAAGCACTGTTGAGAGGAATATCTTTGGCCCCTCTTCATTCTCTATAGGGTTCCAAACCTTTCTTCAACATAGGTGACAAGGAGCGAGGCCGCGATGGAAGAGATGAAACACGGGAATAAGAAGTAATTCCATTACCTTTTTTTTCATTTTTATAGAGGGGGATGGAGAAAGTGGACAAAACAAAATCGCATTTCTCATCGAACAAATACAGGAAAAGAATCATATTCAAAACGCTCCTAACTCAAGCCCTTCCTTCATAGAGCCATGTATTGTAAGTGATCTAAACCTGCCCGGAGCGAGCCCCCATAGAGGCAAGTGAAGTTGGTGAGTCGTATGATTTTGTATCAATATAATGAGATAATAATACGAAAAAAAAATACTTTTTGGGGGTTGTTAGGGATCTGTATTATTTCATTATATTGGATTTCCTCGGAATCCGATATATAATTACAATTTTCCATCGGTTACCTGTGTGGACCTATGTTTGAATTATCAATCAACGTTAACCATTTTTTCATAATTGTTTGTTGATTAATCAATGTCATATGAAGGACCATGAGCAACTTTCTTACATTTATGCTTATTATCAACCTCATGTACAAGTCCACTGTAAGCAACTTGTGTTGCATAGTATGTCTAGAAGACTCAATGTAATATGTAATAAATTACATATGTGATTATTTTGGGTACTGTATGACCCATTTACGTTGAAATAATTTTCCGTAGGAAGTGGATTTGTAGTGGGTGATGTAGATTGGTATGTAAGTAATCAGTTAACACCATTTTTTAAAACATGATTCGCAACAAACAAGTGCGTTGTATTCAGAGACATTTTAGTAACCATATTAACAAAATATTTTATATCATTGTCATTAATAATTTGCATAACAGCGTTTGATCCATGACATGGAAAAAAAAACAAATTTGATTAGTGTGTAATTTGGACTTGGAAGTCACCATGTTAATCAACCCCAAAAGTTGATATCTTAGGTTAAATTCACACAATATCATGGTGTCATATATTAGATAACTTCGTTCATTTGCTCCTATTGTCCTCCATGACGAAAAGCTACACGGAATAAATGATTATATAAACTCATTTTTAATAATAAAATGGTGGATTGAGATAGAAAATAAGAAGAATAAAACTCGGGATTGAGATAGAAAATAAGAAGAATAAAACTCTAAACCTATGAAAAGATCAAAATAAATCTTTGAATTCAGTTGTCTCTAAGATCTCAATCTGAAATATACCTGGAATATACATACAAGGAATCAATCTGGGATGTAGCTAACCTTTGACATGTCATATGCCGAAAGACTTTTATATCACATCTCACCAATTCTCTGCGAGTCCTATACAAAATTGAATAGTCCGAAACGGGACGCTCCGGAATTTGTGGCCATTTTTTCAAACCTAGAAACTTTTGGTCCCTTTTATAAAAGTTATTACATTGGGGGAGATTTAATAAAGATGTTTTTTTATTAAAAATAAATTAGTGGGTTATTGACATTGCAATACAAATAAATTGAAGATGCTCTTATAGCTTGAGCTCGACTCGTGATATGATTCAAGCTCGTTTTAATATATTCGAACCCGAACTACATTTCAAAATCAGATAACTCCCAAAATGCTGACTTGTTTGCAGTCCTACAAACAACTATCGATGCACAAAGTACAACATCATAAACAAGAAAATAGTTAAAGATGACTACATTTTCCATATCAATTCATGTGAAGTTCCTAATTAAATTCATGTGACCAACAACCAACTACAGAGTCACAAAATAAGTGTGTTTTGCTATACTGATACATTAAATGTTGATCTCATGTACACTGTACTTAAAGTACACCCATACATGCATAACAACATTTAGGACCCAACAAGGATTAGCTTAACAACTCACCTAACTAAACTTGCATCCTAACATCAACAATCTATACACACACACACAAACATGAATCAAATTAATCAAGATTCGGTAACTCTTAATGACCCTCCAAGCTCAACAGGTACAAGTGGGATGAACGAATGCAAGACATCTGTTATCAATGGCCTGTAACTTGGTTCCGGTTGTACACATAGCACAGCCACAGCAGCAACCTTTACAACAAACAAACGCGAAAAAAAAAATCTTAATTTAAACTGATAAATGAGGGTATTTACTTCTTTTGCACAGGAGACTAAAAACAAATCTATGTCCCACCTTTTTTGGTGGGACAAAAGATTACAACTTTTGTCTTGTCGACATCAGTCTCGGTAGTGTAGGGCAAATACAGTACAGTCTGTTCTGTGAAGGGCCAATAGGGTTGAAAAGAAAGATTATACTAACTTGATACAAGTGTTTCAAGTCCATTGTATCTCTAATCATGGGATCAACGATGTTAGGAAGCTTTGATCTGTCGGTTAGCTGAGGCATTGCCTGATGAACAAATTCAAATTTTAAAATTTTAAAAGATTAGGGTTTGGAAATTTGTTAAAGATATAAATATGGTTGATTGATTATATTGCTTACCCATGTGACGATAGATTGGCATTGAGATGGTGACATTTTCTCCACGGGTTTTCTCCCTATTAAAAGCTCGAGAAGGACAACTCCAAAAGCGTACACATCACTTTTATCGGTAAGTTTACCTGTAAAATTTCACTTATAAATTATAATCTCTACATTTTAATAAAAAAATATGTTCATCGATTGAAAAATGAAGTATTGCATACCATCTAAGAGGTATTCGGGAGCTACGTAACCTAATGTTCCTGAAAGTTTTATGTTGTTCTTCCCCTGAACCCCACCAGTAATCGCGAGCCCAAAATCAGAAAGCTGAATCCAGTAAATGAAGCAAAGAGTCTCAGATTTCTATTATATCATGGTTCTAAAGATTCAGAATTAGGGTTCTTACTTTAGCATTGTAGTTGGAACCTAGAAGAATGTTGGACGATTTCAAATCTCTATGAATCACAGGCGGAGTACATCGCTCGTGAAGATACTCTAGTCCTCTATTCGATCAAAATCAATAATCAAGATTCAATAATTTGACATGATCCAAGAAGAAAACGGGTAAATCAGTGATCAAACACAACCCATATCGACCCAATTTTGGGTTAATTGGTCAAAATTGAAACCTTTAATAAAGATAAGCCAAAGTCAATGGAAATACCTTGCAATATCAAGTGCAATTTTCATTCGGTGCTGCCAGCTTAAACCACTTCCATGAGAGGGCCCTAAGTAATTTATTAAAGAAAAAAAACACAAGTAATAACCATTAAGTGATGAAAAATATAATAAGACACAAAATGATAGAAAAATTACCATGCAATTGGGATTCTAATGAACCATTATGCATCATCTCGTAGACCAAAAACCTTGTCTCATCATGTATGCAATAACCCAAAAGATTAACAATGTTTTGATGCTGAATTCGGCTTAAACAATTGATCTCATTCTGCAACCAAAACAAAGAACTGGTAAATTGCTACAATTTATACAAGTAATCTTTTTTTTTTTTGAAGTTACCTCAAATGCTCTTTGTGAATCTGGTCCTCCGCCATGGATTCTTTTAACAGCTGCAAGGAAATGGTCATTGAAACAAGCTTTGTACACACTCCCAAATGCACCATGGCCTATGATGTTGTCTTCATGAAAATTGTTTGTTGCAGACACTAACCATTCGTATTCTATAACAGTGGCAGATCCCTTTTTACCAGCCATTCTTAGAGGGTTGAATTTATCCAAAATTGGACCCAATGATAGCCCTTTTGAAGCATCTATGAGTATGCACAAGCACAAATTTGATCAAGATTAAAAGTGGTCATAATGTTGGGGGTATTTGATGTGCCTTTTGAAAGTAATCATCTCAATAATAAGTTTCGAAGTATTTGATTGACTTTTAATTATTGGGGCAAATAATCAATTCTGGATATACAAGAATGAAATGATCACCCCGATATTATAAAATGAAAAGCGTATTCAAATACCCTTTAGTAAAGGAAAAAAGAAAAAAGAAAAAAAGAGATACCTTGGCTTTGTTGCGCTTTCTGGGTATTGGAGGTTTTTGAGATTTTTAACCTGTAGATCCAGAAACATGATAAGAACAGCAAAATTGCAGCAAGAAGAGTTGAAGCAACAATGAGTGCTACAAGAATCTTCTTGTTCAAATCTTCATGGTGCACCACTCTGATTTCAGATACACCTGTATTTCGCAAGGACCCCGATCAACAATTTGTAAACCAAAACGGCCATAAGTACCCGTTTTGCTTTGTTAAAGAAAGTAAATAAGACTATATTATCAAGAGTTCTTGAACATTCAGTGAGTCGTTTCATCAAACAGATAAACTGCATTGAACTTGGAACTGAAGTTTAACACTTGACCCATTTGAAACATGTCCAAAATTGCGAAAATGCATGTTTTCAGCAATTAAAAAGGATGAGGGGTTTGTAAGTTACCTGGAGATCGAGCTTCGTTTTCGGTGGATATTTGAGAAAAAGGAGGTTTTTTCTCGCTCGGAAGAACAGGGTCAGCCATGGAGGATAGAGGTGGGTCGGTGGTGAAAGCATCAACTGGGAGTGTAAAAGAGCATAAAACCAAAATGGGTATAATGAAAACAAGATTCATATCCATTTTGATGCAGAAAGATTTGTTTAGAAGAGAATGGGGAGACAAGAGAAGCCAAGGGAAGCTAAGATCGGAAGATATACCCAAATTCCATGTGTTTTGTCTTTCATGGTTTCATGCTTTGAATTTCGAAACTCTCTCTTTCTCTCTCTCCTTTTTTACTCCCTCTCTCATTATTTGACATAGATATGAATGAAAATAGCCAGACATTACTCAGTTTATTTTTTAAGTTTAATATAATTTAATGCTCGATAGTATATTTTAATGGTAAATTTATATTATGATATAAATTATTATAATTTTATTGTTTTAACTTTTAAATAAACTAGGAAAGAGCCCATACGTCGCATGGGTTAGAAATAATTTAGAGTTTTCTGAAAAAATGACTCGAAGTGATAATTTAAAAAAACATGTAAAACCGACAAAATCCAAGACTTTACAATAGGGTCGACTACCCATTGACCAAGGAATGACCAAATGTGTAATAACCACAAAAAATTGTGCAAAAAAATATAGAACAATATTGGAAAAAGTATCGAAATATAACAATATTGGAAAAGGTAGAGACTAAATTGACAATTGAACATACTTTTGTGGATGGAGATTGCAAGTGTAAAAGTTGAAGGATGAAAACTGTGAAACCCCCTAAAAAGTGGTGGCAGAAACCAAAAGTCCTAAACTCCTATGGCAAATCTGTGAAGGAAAGAAAACTATGGGGTAAAAATGTGAATGTTAAAAAGTTATTGTTCAAACATCCCACGAGATTTAATATATATATATATATATATATATATATATGAAAAAAGTGAATATATATATATATAAATTATTTTTATGATCTTAAAACATTTTTAATATGATTTTCATTTTATAATTTATTATTACTAGTTTGTTATTGATCATTCATTATTATTAGAACATTAGTTATTATATATATATATATATATATATATATATATATATATATATATATATAAACTAGTAATAATAAATTATAAAATGAAAATCATATTAAAAATGTTTTAAGATCATAAAAATAATTTATTATAATTTATAAATTACTTTTTGATAAATTAATTATAAGTTATTTTTTCGGCTAGCACGTCAATAATTAATTTTAGAGTTTCTTATTAATTTGGTTCTCTCTACATATCTTTTTTATATTTATAACTAGATGAACGTGACTAAAATATTATGAGTTTTTTAATTATTTGGTCTAACAAAAATATTATTATTCATTTTTAAAATCATACCAATTGGATTTTATTTATTTAATTATTATTCAGCTATCCTTAACTTTATTGATAATTTAATTAGTTGATTTATTAAGATCAATTAGATAATAGCATAAGCATGTTGCAAACAACTTTTACTTTTGTGTTGTCATATACTAGGTTTACATAAATCCAACGATCTTTTTAATTTTACATAATATGCACAAAATCATTTATAAGAATGTTTTATACATATCTTTTGGAGTAAAATATGTTAGACTATGATTGATTTGTCAACAATTTTGACTAAAATAATATAACCGAATAATTAAATTATTGCAGAATATATCTAACCATATATTGTGTATAATTTATTAAAAGAAATAGAAAGGTGGGGACAAAAGCGACGAAAAAGCAATTACTGTATCCATGGAAAAAAGGGTGGAAATACACTGCCAGCCAACAATCATGTGGCGGTTATCAAAACCTCCCCAAAAGATTTTGCAATTAATTTACTATCAGTACAACTTCATGGATTTTGTGATATCACGAAAATGCCCTCTCTTGCAATGAATTGACTTTTCGAACTGTTTACAGACTTTTCGAACTGTTTACAGTCACTTTTTCATATTATCATGTAAGACGATTTAGAATAGTACGCAAATATAATGTTTAGGACTTGTTAGAAAAAAGGTGATTGAGTTGCATTTATGTCTTTAAACCTTTTAATACTCTTCGTATTTTATAGGTATTAAAATATTAAATATAATACTATCAAAAATTAGAAAAAAAAAATATATCTAAATTTAATAAAGCAATATAATTCACGATTCAAGCCTACTGGTTAAGATAAATAATTTCATATAAAAGATGCAAATTTTAAACTCCGAACATGCAAGATATTGGCGGTGAGCTTTTTAACCGATTATTTTGAACCAAACCAGTACCGATATTGGTACCGAATCAGACCTCACAAGCTTAAGAAATTCGGTTATTGATTTCAAAATTATGGCCTATTTAGTTCTCAATACATACGTAATCGGTACCATCGGATCTCAGGAAAAAAATTTGAAACATCTCTCATACGGGTTAGTAGAAATTAGGTTATCCTTTACAAATTCATATTTATGTCATTCTTGATCACTTAACTTTTGACTATGTGCTTATTTGGTCACTTAACTCATTTTAAGTTTTAAAAGGTCATCGAACATTTATCTTTGTGCTCATTTAGTCACCTAAATTTTGGTTTGGTGTAACATCCATAAAAATCATGCCAAATTTAAACTTTTTAAAACATTTCAAAACCAATGATTATTACAAAACTTGTTTCCAAAATAGTATAATGTCAGAGTATCCCAGAAATCAAAATCATAAAACATGAGGAGTTGTACGATCGCGCCTTCGTCTTCCCGCGATCATCCGAAGTACCTGAAACCAAAACTGAAACTGTAAGCCCGAAGCTTAGTGAGTTTCCCCAAAATACTCATACACACAACAATATACACAAAATCACAAACAACATACTATGGGTCCAGTCAACCATCGGGTTGGAATACCCCAGGCCCTCAACCATCAGGTTGGAATGCCAACGTACTATGGGTCTAGTCATCCTCGGGATGGAATACCCCAGGCCCACAACCATCGGGTTGGAATGCCCTAATACCACGAGTCCAATCATCCTCGGGATGGAATACTCACGGCCCACAACCATCGGGTTGGAATGCCCATGTTTGTTGGCTCTCGCACAAAGCAGATAAGCCTCAACTACCAATCAAACATGTGCACATATATCAGATAATCACATAACAGTCTATAGACAGACAAACCGATCTAACAGATCATAACAACATAATAACATCTTATCTACCAGGATACCGATCTAACAGATCATACTAGCATAACATCATCCTATCTACCAGGATACCGATCTAACAGATCATAGCACTATAATACCATCCTATCTACCAGGATACTGATCTAACAGATCATAGCAACATAATACCATCCTATCTACCAGGATACTTATCTAACAGATCATAGCAACATAATACCATCCTATCTACCAGGATACTGATCTAACAGGTCATACTAGCGTAACATATCAGGATAACAATCCAAAAGGGTCGGCCTTGGTCCCTTAGACCCTTGAGTATAGTGAGTAAACTTACCTCACATATGTCGAATTGTAGTGATAATTGTTGGAGTAGGTGTCTAATCCCATAACTATAATTGGTATGTACTTGAATTCATAGCAGCACAGTCATTTTAGGTTGCCCTCAAACCTAGCAACTGGACAAGGAAATTATGAAAGGAGAGATACTGATTTATTATAAGATTAATAAATTAATATAAATGATTTATTAATATGCTAAAAGATTAATATATTAATTAGAAATCATAAGGTGTAATTAATAGTTAGCCAGAAATTAATTAGAATTAATTTTGGGGTTAATTGTATTAGTTATAAAGTGCAGGGACTAGTTTGCAATTATCAAATAGTTGAGTGGAAGGCTCCAGAACCTCCTTGGAAGGAGGTGGACGAAATCTATAGGGGAAACCCTAAGGATTTCGTCCAAGGGGCTTGGATTTGTGGTCCAAGGATTTCGTCCAAGGGGCTTGGATTTGTCCAAGGGTTTTCCCTAAACCCTAGATCCCTCAGCTATATAAGGAGCCTCCCAGCTCCTAAATTCGGCCACTCC